GAACTCCAGCTTCTGTTTAATCAGGCTCAGTGAGGCCAGCCCCCATGGGGACCTCTGAAAAGAATGCTTAGGCAGCATATAATGCTGAAGGAGCCTTGCCCATGCACGCTCCAAGCACCACAGTGCACTGGCCTGTGAAGTTGAACAGCTGGAAATCAAGTTACCTCCTGGAGTACCTCGAGGTCTGGACTCTGACTAGTTAAGCTCCCTAGTTCTGGTGATTGGCACATTTCCCTGTGTGCTGTATTAACACCATTGGTTGCCCATCTAGGTAATTAAAGCTTTATTGAGGTGTGTCACACACATTAGTGCACTGAACACAAATCTTCTTGGTCATCACAGTTATCTGCACACTCAAACTAGGCATCAGGGAGCCCACAAGCCATATGAAAGTGCCCTTGTCATGTGATACACCTGTTAGGAAAACCATTGCTCTGGCCGTCATTTGGAAAGATTGCTGATCTACTGGTTTGGGAACCTCTTTTCTCTACTCCCCTTTTATCGGAACAGAAGAATCGGAATTAGAGAAAAAAAAAAAGCTCCCTTCATTCTGAAGACCAGCTTCAGGTAGGGATAAATGGAAGTCTCCAGGAAATAAAGCATGTGCAAGAGAAAAATGACTTCCACCAGAGGGATGGCAGGAGAGGAAATAGACCAGAGTTCATTTTCAAGCTCTTCAAACCTGGCATTCTTTTTCTGAGTGTGATGTGAGCGCTGGGAGAGCGGAGGGGACGGAGGGAATATATCACCATTACACTTTAAACTCTGCCGCACAGAATAAACCGCAGGAAGAAAAAGAAGGGCTCACTTGGAAGCCATCTGTGATAAGATTAAAAACGAACAAGGAATACAACCATCAGCAGCCTGTAACCCATTAGTATAAAGTCTAATTCCAAAAGACTTCATCCTGATGATGCACAGAGTTATTAAGTCTCTGAGTGTGTGGAGGGTAACATATGCAAATATTTTCGTGTTTGCTCTGAGAAAGCAATTGATTTGAGAGGGGAAGAGAGAAGAGTTTTATTACAAAAAGAATAAAGCATAAATATGCCGGTGAATAAATGTTTCAATCAGCTGAAGAATTTTGCTATTAACAAGCTTATCTTGGCAGCTAAGACACAAACCTGATGTAATCTTCAGCAAAGAAAAGCATCACAGAGAACAGGGACTTGGGTTTCATGATTTTGAAAAACCCAACGTGGAGGTATTTGATCTTCAGAGTGTTGAACTGTGGCCTTAAAGAGGCTTCTGCTGGCTTGGTTTGCATTGTTTGGTGATTTGCAGACATCTGAGTTAGTTTCCTGACCCCCCTCACATCATAAACATGCATAAATGAAAGAAAATTCTACCTTGATTCTGTCTCACGGTGGCACCAGGACAATGCTCTCAGCCTTACTCAACCTTCCTCTCTTCTGTAAAATAAGAAGCTAAACAAAACTGGGACAATACAAATTTCAGCTAAGAGAATGTACATAGAGACCCTCCACCAAGCATGTAGTAAAGGCAGCTGCTTGTAGAAGTTTCAGAATGGTATATAGGATATGCTGTTCTTCAAAGTATCCAGTATACTGTCTCAGCTCTGTTGACCTCAACACTGGCCAAATAATCTACCATGAATCCCAGAGGACCTTGGAGAGCTAGGCTACACGTCACTCCAATTCTCTTTGCTTTCTTCTTCACCCTGTCTGTGTGATTGGTGGGGCTTCTCTAAGAGTTTGGGTCTTGTGAAGATGGGCACCGAATAATGTAGCCAGGGTACAATAGCCAGGATATGACTATTTGACTATTTGACAGATGAACCCTTGAGGCTGTCCCTAGACTGGAGGCCTCTCTTTTAGAAAGGTGCCTTCCCATCCCATTTATTCCTCAGATTTGAAGCCGTAGCTATTGTAGTTAAGTATCTTAGGTTGCTTTCTATTGCTGTGATAAACAACCAAGAGCAACTTGGGGTGGGGCTGTTTATTTCAGCTTACAGCTGAATTAAAGGGACAGCAGGCAGGAACTCAGGATAAGAACTCAAGTGCAGGCCATGGCGGAGCATTGCTTACTAGCTTCTTGCTTTTCATTGTTTGTTCAGCTTGCCTTCTGATTCAACCCAGTGTCCCCTGCCCAGAGGTGATACCACCCACAGTGTGCTGGGCCATCCCACATCAATTATTAATCACAAAACTGTGTCTTGCTCATGGGCCCCTGGAGGCATTTTCTCACTTGAGATTCTCTCTTCCTGAATGGCCCCAGCTTGTGTCAGGATGACAAAAAACTAAGCAACTCACCATGTATGAGCGCTTTTCCAGCTCAATGGAGATAAAGATTCTAAGTTGAGCATACTACATCCAAAAGCTTTGAAATCCAAGCTCATTTTGAGCACTGACAGGGAGCCACAAACAGACATTTCCAGAAATGTAGCGTTCTTTCGCACACAAAATCATTAGAAATATTGCATGAAATTACCCTCATTAAGAATTGATCAATATTACCAGGCGCTTACTTCTGTTTTTTTCAAGTGTTCTGGTTGATTCTCATCTTAGAATTTGCGTGATTCCTTTGCCTGACAGAGATTGACCTAAAATCTTCCTGAAGCCAACTTCTCTTTCTTCAAAGGCTTTACTCAAATGTCACTTCTTCAGAGATCTTAATTGGCCCTGTCCCCAATATCTAGAACTTCCTCCTTCTTAGAAACCTTTTAGCACTTAGTTTTTATTCTGAGATTTTAGTGTAAAAACTTTATTCTACATATATTTGCTCTTTTCTTTTTTTAGAATTATTTCTTTTATGTGTATGAGTGTTTTACCCATACATGTATATGTACCATATGTGTTCATTGCCTGTGGAGAACAGATGAGGGCATCAGATTCTCTGTAACTGCAGTGATGGATGGTTGTGTGTACTAGGAACTAAGCCTCGTGTATTCCAGACTGGCCTCAAACTTACTAATTAAGACTGACACTGAGCTTCTCATTCTCCTGCCTCCAGCTGATTATAGGTACAATTGCCATACACTGTTTATGCACTGCTGCAAATTAACCTCAGGTCCTCGAGGGCAAATAGTCTTCCACCTGAGTTGTATCTCTAGCCTCTATTCAGTTATATCTTGAACAACTGGTTCCCTTCTTTCTTTAGCCCAAGAAGGAGTAAAATAGTTGTAATCTCATGAAAGTCAGAACTGCATCTCCGCTCACTCCTCATCTCTGGCCAGCGCCTGGCATGAAGTAGACACTCAATAAATGTGCTTGATTGAATGAATAGCTAGATAATAATCCATATCCCATATTGCCTACATGAGCCTTGGTAACTGTGTTACCTCTGGACCTTAGGTCCTCTAAGGCAAGTATGATACTAGTAGTTTTAACCATTGGATTTTTATAAGGATCCAAGTGAAACAGTGAACGCAAAAAATTTAGCCAGCAAGTGGCATAAGGTAGTTACTTGGTAAATTAAGACTGTTGGCATGGCTTTATCCTGGCTTGGTTCTTACATGCGTCACTCTTCTTCGTCTGCTCTTGGATCCCTTAGTGGGAGACTTTACATGAAATCATGGAGAGCAGGGTTTCTCAGTTTGAAATGCCAGAATTCTTGTAACAAGAACAAATAATTCCTGGTCTGTCTTCCTTGGGAGATGATGAGTAAGTTGGACATTTCTCTCTTTCTCTAGGAAGTTTTACCCAGAAAATAGGCCCGTTATTGTTATCTCTGACAGTTACTTGGAGGATTTCTCTGAGTTCATAGGTGTTTAACAACTTGCAAAGTGCTGCTGTGGGGAGCCAGCAGGTATGACAGGAAAGAGTTTATTTTAATGTTATACTGGCTCTGTAGAAAGCATCTGTGACAATAAAAGGACATTGACAGATGAGATAGGAGAGGGCTTCTCAGAGACAGAGGAGTTTAGCATTTGGATAACAGCTTGATGGGGTGGGCAGAACTGACATCAATTTTCATTCCGAAGTCGAGATTAGAATTTAATATGCTGCATAGCCATCTTCTGCTCCAAGTAAGCATACTGAACAGGAGTGGTTGCATTCCTAGAAAGGAAGCATATGGTCACATCACCACTCAGGAAATTTGGCGGCCATGACAAATAAATGTGAAAAGTATGTCTCTTAGTAATATATGAGGGCTGTTATTTATTTTGTCTTATACCCTTATTCTCCAATGGAATACAGACACAAAACTTCTCCATATTGACTTACAAGTATTCTAGCACAAATGGACTTTTCCATGCTACCCAAGTCTTTATCTTTCACTAATTCTCTCTCTCTCTCTCTCTCTCTCTCTCTCTCTCTCTCTCTCTCTCTCTCTCTCTCTCTCTCTCTCTCTCTTTCTCTCTCTCTCTCTCTCCCAGTTTCTTTCTAAAAATTATCATGAAGGTTCAGTAGGAAGCGTTTTCCTAGCAGGCATGAGGCCCTGAGATTGAACCCAGCCACACATAAACATGGTGGTACATGCCTGTAATCTCGTCACTTAGGAGGTGAAGCCAAAAGGACTAAGATTTCAAGGCCAGACTGGATGGCATAATACATTGGAGGCTAACCTGGGCTACAGGAGCCCTGATCTAAAGAAACAACAAAGTAACCTTTCATTCACAGGTAAACTGTAACCAAATCCATGCACAAATGAGCTGGATTTAATGGGGTGTTTCTTCCATATATACACAAGTTAAATGGTGCATGTTTATTCCCACACATTTATTCAGAGAGGATAGTATTTGGGGGGAGTTTTTGGGAGAAGTAGGGACTGTTTGCTGGTTTTCTTACAGAAGCAGGGAGATGGGCATGTATGCCACGCCACTGAACTGGCATCATACGCTTCTGCAGTTCGACATGAATGGTGCTGATAGGGTGGAAAAGACAGATGCTCAACATGCTGCCAGCTTGCTGTCTCTCCCTGAGTCAGCCAAGGCCTTGGACTTTGTTTCTTGGAAAGAGCTCAGTGTTGACTGCAGTGGAACTCTGGCTGTGGCCTCCAGGACAACTCAGCAGTTCTCCGTGTCTCCATTTTCTTCTCTGGAAAAACAAAAGGATAGATGAAATTGCCTCCTCATTTATTCCAGCCCTATTTCTAATTGTACATGCAATTTCTTTCTTACACCAATATAAGAAGAAGTAAATTTGACTATGTATAAGACAGAATCAGAGGGTTAGAGGAACTCAAGAGGCTTTTAGGTTGCCTTCTTTTATTTTGGACACCATGTTTCCACCAAAGGAGCAATGACAAAGTCAACCATGCTATAAAGCCATCCAATGAAGCATTAAGTAATAAAGTAAGAATTGCAAATTTTTCAAGGGCCTTAAAGAATGCTGTAGACAGATGTTAAATGGTAGTGAAAAATCAAGAAATTAAGTTGCATGAGCAGAATCATAGCAACCAGAAAGATTATAGAAAAAATGATCATTATCCATGCTTTTTAAAAATCAGCAGCTGCCTTTAATAGTTGACATTATGAACAAACTTTTCTCAGCTTCCCTGTGTTTATTTTTCTATATGCTTGCTATGAAGCGTGTCCTCTATCTCCCCATTACAGGCTTATTTGTTGAACACTTTCCTCTAGCTATGGGCGATGGATTCCTGTGTCTGGCATCTACAGATTCTTGTAACAAATGGAAGGGATCTGGGAAAAAACAACTGGGATGGAAACACAGTTGGCCACTCAACAGCAGTTCATTGGCTTGCAAATCCTCAGCCTTGGTATTATTAGAGTTAGGCAAATGGGTGTGGACCTGGAGAAGAGGTAACTATGCCAGGCAGAGGAAATAAAATAGCAAAGTGGAGAAGCAGGAAACAGTGTGGAGCATGACCCAAAAGCTGGGCAGAGAGCAGGAGGTAGAGGGAGGCAAGAGAGGAGAACAGAGAGGGAGTGGGTCACGCAGATGCACATGGGCTGGCAACGAAAACAATTTTGCTGGTTTAAATGGCTCTTTGATACATCTACATAATTATGTAGACGGCATATTGTCTTTAATCTTGACTCACAAAGCCTAAAATATTTACTATTTGGCCTGTTAAGAAAGGAGTTTTCCCACCTTGAACTAGATGTACCCCGAAGGTAGTAGAGGACCACAGGGGAACATGTATTTGGAATGAACCTGGGACATATGGTTGCAGCTATAGATGGCTGGAAAGGCTGCTCAGGAGAGAAATAAGAAGTGTCTGCATTGGGGCGATGGCAGAAAGTTGGGGGAGGACTCCTGAGGGAAGTCCTGAGTTCAGATTTAGATGGTATCTTGGAAATGAGTAGGGATACATGCAAACAGAAGTGAAGCCAGGGACTGTGTCTGGAAATCTGGAATGCTCTGAAGAGGGATCAGCTTTAATTGGCATCAAATATAGGAAATATGTAAGTGGGTGTGTTACTTCGGTGAGGGTCTGAGCTGGGTGTGTCCTGGTTCTTAGTCTCTTATTCAAGGAATTGAAACAAAGGCTCATACGGTAGGAAAGAAATTTTACTTTAAACAAGCAATTGGACAGATCAGAATATATTGGAAAAGAGCAGAAGTCCACATGGATGAAGATACTTACGGGCCACATTATCATTTAGGGCTTCCTTTCATGGCTTTGAAAGAAGTGCAGCATAGCCAACAGTCCGTATTTTGATAGGTACATTATGTCATATAATATTTTTTCTACTCTGCATGTCTCTTCCCATAATGCATCTGATTTTAATCATATAAATGACCAATTATGCATAAGGACAAGATAGGAAATAGGGAATTTTCTCTAAAAGTTCACTTGAGGTCACAGTTTTGCCTCATTATATGTGTACCCAAAACTAGTTTGGGACAGATTAGCTTTCCCATTTGTCATACCTGGAAATATTGGGGATATATTTCAACAGACACTGTCAAAGTATGGTTGTTGTCTGGAGGGGAAACTTATCCCATTGTTCATAGAGGGGGCTGTGACTATGGAATGATGCAGATAGAGGGTCCCAGGTTGCTGGATACATTGTTGAGAGAGTTCATTGTAAAGAGAAGCTTTTTCCTTGAGAGAAGCCTTCCCACCAGCCTGGTTCTAGAGCCGCATCAGTCCCAAATAAACACACAGGAGACTATATTAATTATGAAGCTGTTGGTCTTGCTTGTTTGTTACTGGCTAGCTCTGACTTAAGTAATTACCCCATAATTGTTAATCTAAGTATGTCTCTTACCGGAGAAGTTTCCGGGCTTCCTACCCCATGGTGTTACATCTCGATTCTCTTTGTTTCTCTTTCCCAGAGTTCTCCTGGACTTCTAGTCCCACCTATCTTGTTTCCCTATTGGCCCAACATTGCTTTATTGACATATACATAGGACTTCCCCCATCAGTTCATAGTACTTGAAGGTAAAGGAGCTCCTCTATATTGGGATTAATGCTAAAATTATTTATCTCAGTAAGTGTAATAAGTGCCTCACACAAAGTAACATGATTTATGTAAAGCATAATTTTTGAGATAATGTTACTTTCAAACAAAGAACTAGGTGTCATAAATAAGAAGGCTATACATAAGAAATTGTGTATTGGAGCTCATTGACCGGTAAACCCAGCTTACATTGCAAGCTTCAAGTCTCTGGAAGACCTTGTCACAAAACACAAGGTGAGTGGTACCTGTTCTAGTTAGGATTTCTATTGCTATTATGAAACACTATGACCAAAAAGCAAGCTGGGGAGGAAACAGTTTATTTGGCTTACACTTATAGATCATAGTCCATCATTGGAGGAAGTCAGAACAGGAACTCAAGCAGGGCTAGAACCTGGAGGTTGGAGCTGAGACAGAGGATATGGAGGGGAGCTGCTAACTGACCTGCTTTCCCTGGCTTGCTCAGCCTGCTTTCTTATAGAACGTAGGACCACCAGTCCAGGGATGGTACCACCCACCATTGACTGGACCCTCCGTATTGATCACTAACTGAGAAAGTGCCTTACAGCTGGACCTCATAGAGGCATTTCCTCAAATGAGGCTCCTTTCTCTCTGACGGCTCTAGTGTGTGTCAAGTAGATACACAAAACCAGCCAGTACAGTGACTGAAGAATGGCACCCAACATTGAGCTCTGGTCTCCACAGCTCAAACGTACACATGCACATGCATTCACAGACACATGAAGGTACATGTATGTGCATACACAGCACACACACACACACACACACACACACACACACACGGTATAATGGTGAACTGGGTTGAAAAATATTGGACTAATCATATAACATTCAGAAATTGACAAGTAGGTGAAATTTTTTAATAGACTTTCTTTTCTTTATACAAAAATCTAATCTGGAAATAACCTAATCAACCCCTTGAGGACCTTGCTGCTTTTATAGCACCAGGCAGAGGTATCCAGTTTGCATCCCAGGAGATTCCTTGTCACCTGAACCACAGAGTTTCGGGGATGGGTTGATTCAAGGATGTGCCATGGCTAGTCTTTGTCAACGTGGCACAAATAAATTAAACATACCTTGGAAGAGGGGATCCCAGTTGATGAATTATCTCTATTAGAAAGGTCTTTGGTCTTATCTATGATCGATTTTCTTGATTAATGATTGATGTGGGAAGGTCAAGCCCACTGTGGGTGGTGCCATCTATAGTCAGCTAGACCTGAGCTATGTAAGAAATGTAGCTGAGAGCCAGGTAGTTGTGGCACATGTCTTTAATCCAAGAACTTTGGAGGCAGAGGTAGGCAGATGTGAGTTTGAGGTCAGCCTGGTCTACAGAGAGAGTTCCAGGAAAGGCTCCAAAGCTACACAGAGAAACCCTGTCTGGAATAAAAAGAAAAGGAGAAGAAAAGAAAAGAAAAGGAATAGAAAGGTTGCTGAGCAGGCCAGGAGAAGAAAGCTAGTAAGCGGTGTTCCTCCGTGGTTTCTGCTTCTGGTCCTGCCTCCTGGTTCCTACCTCGAGTTCTTGCACTGACTTCTCTAAACGATGGACTGTGATGTGGCATTCTTTCCTTCTCAAGTTGCTGCTTTTGGTCAGTGTTTTATGACAGCAACAGAAACCTAACTAGGACATTTTGGGATTCCAGCATAAGTCAGCAAGAGATAGGCTTGGGCCTTTCCTTGTCACTCACAGCATAGAAGTTCTGTGGGTCCTAAACCAGTAGGAGACACACAAGGAGTCACTGGTGGCTGTACCATTACAGTAGATGCATCAGAGTAAATGTCCTGGAGAGAGAGGAGAAAACAAAAACCAAAACAACAACAACAACAAAGCTGGCACTTCCCTGGTGGCATCACTAGGTCATGCCAAAAGCAAGTCCTGGATGTTTCAGCGGCAACAGCCAAAGAAATTTCTCTTCTCCCTAAAGCTGCTTCGATTTCAAGTTTCTGTCATTTGCAATTATAATCTTCCACACTGGTGGAGTAAGCTGGGGATCTTTGGGAATGTAATGTAACCCATGCTCAGGGAATCCAAAATTACAGAATTGTTATGTGTTCCAAAATATGGTTATTAATTTAGTCATGGGTTGCTTGGGCTAAAGCAGGAGAAATTTATTGTGTGCAAATAAAAAAGAATTTGTTGGGTTTCTCACAAAACTCAAGAGCAGTAATTAACGTCAGACAGCACAGCCTCTGGAACAGTAGGTGCATTCGTTACTTTCCTAATGCTATTATAAAATACCATGATCAAGGCAACTTATAGAAAGGATTGTGGGCTTACAGTTCCAGAGGTATAAGAGTCCATCATCATCATAGTGGGAGAACAGCAGGCTAATGGTAGACAGAGTGGCTTGAGACGGCTGGAGAAGCAAGCTGAGGGCTCACAATTGGTTTTTGTTTTTGTTTTGTTTGTTTGTTTGCTTGTTTTTCTGAGACAGGGTTTCCCTGTGTAGCTTTGGAGCCTGTCCTGGAACCTGCTCTTGTAGACCAGGCTGGTCTCAAACTCACAGAGATCCACCGGCTTCTGCCTCCCAAGTGCTGGGATTAAAGGCATGCGTCACCACAGTCCCTCGAGGGCTCACATCTTAAACTGCAAGCAGGAAGCAGAGAGAGTAACATCAAAAAGTCTGGGGTCTTCAAACTCTCAAAGCCTAA